CCAACACACTCTGCCTCACCCCCAAAAGCCCTGCCCCGCCCCTTACATGCTCTGCCCCTCCCCCAAACACCCTGCCCCTCCCTCGATGAGCTCTTCCGCAGCGCCATACCTGGATCCGCAGCATCAGGTGTCTGTTGGCGTGTTCCAGCCTCTTCTGACGATTCTCGAGGTCCTTGGCCCGCTGCTGCTCCCTCTGCAGCTTCCGGATGTAATCCACGGACGCCTTGAGGATGGTGCCTTTGTTCCACCTCATATCCCTGGAAGGCAAAGACAGGAGGTCCAATCAAGAGAAAAAGCAGATTATAAAATACAGATAAATCACTGACTCACATTGAATAACTATGTTTTTCTCAGAAACCGTCAAACTTACGGATCGTTCGATTTTGGAATTAAAGTTCCCAGCTCTTTGATTCGATCATTTATGTTGAATCTTCTTCTTCTTTCAACTAGTGAAATGGGAACCAAGAGGGGTGAAAGTGGCCTGTGACTGAGATGTGACATGTTTACATGTGTTAGTACTCGGTTAGTACAGCGATACAGGTTATAGCGCACCCTGACAGACACTAATAAAGATCAGCAAGTGAAAATGCAGGCTGGCAGGTAAAGTTCAGATTAAACCATTAAAGCTTCACAGCCACAAAATGACAGGCGATCTCTTTCTGTTCCTCGTGCTCACCATACTTCACGTCTACACATCAATACACTAAGAGACAGACAGCACAACGCACCCCAAAAGCCCTAATCCTATGGTGCAAAAGCTCCCTCCTCGTTCTCGCTTTAGGTGTAAACACCGAAAACTCACTTAAGTTGTGATTGTCCTTCTTCTGTCTCTCCTTGGCGAGAGCTCTCACCTCGGCCTCTGTGGACACAGGGAAATGTGAGGATCGGCCCGTGGTTTTATATTCATGCTTCACCTATTCAGTTTTCACACATCTGTTTGATTTTAACACTGTTGAAAAGTGCCGTTCGCGACAGAAAGGCATGACAGACGTGTGGTGATCTGAAGCATCTGAGGTGCAGGATTTTGTTAGTGTGAATTTGTTCTGAATAACAGTTACGGAGGAAAGTTTCTGCAAATTTGAAAACCAAGGGTATTTGTAGTGAGGCTGTGAGACACCAACAGAGTATAAAGCGGCTGCTCTGAAGCGTGAACTGGCTTGGCAGCGTGAAATATCTGAGCAAAGGCGTGTCAGTCATTTACCAGATGTCTCTTTCCATATTGTGTGCAATACTGTGTTTACGAAAAGAAGACATTTGACAGACAGATGCTATAGTTATCAAGCCTTTGAAAGGTAATTAATAATATACAGGAATGAAAAAAATTAAGAGATCGCTCTATATTTTTTTTAACAAATCTGCATTTTTAAATCCTGGTTTAATCCCGGTTCTGCTGGCAGGAGGCTACACTGAGCACCAGGTTGCTTACAGGCTCTGAATTTCTAAGACAGAAGTACACAAGAATAAGGTGAAGCAGGAGACACTGGGAAGGACCATAAACCAGCCAGGTAGAGGGCAGAAGCAACTTTCTAATACCAGAGATGACCGTCAACTTATCCGAAAAGTGCCATCAGAGGATGACCTCGTGACGTTCAAAAGGAATGGGGAACATTAAGTGCAGGTGTGAGGTGCACTGCTAGGACAGTTCGTATCAGGCTCCTAGAAGCAGGACTGAAGTTCCATAAAGCAAGGAAGAAGTTCTTCATTAATGAGAAACAGGGAAGCTGCAGTTTGCATAAATAAATTATTCACAGACGCACACATTGAGAAATGAGTGACAAAAATTTGTACTGTTGTCTCTTAATTTTTTCCACAGCTGTATATTTATGTTTTCCGTCTTTGAAATTAAGCAGTATACTGAGCGTTTTAAGGCATCTATGTTCCTGCACATTGGTGTACTGATTAAGCTCCAGTTCCCAGACCGTTATACTGAAGCTGTATGAATCACCAGCTGAGGTACCATGTTGAAGATGCACGTAAATGGTAACGTACCCACTGGAAAGCCATCTGATATTTCATAGCTGCCCCAGGTTCCAGGCTTGTCCAGTAGGTGCATCGTGCCTGGAGCTAAGGGCAATGCATTAGCATACACAGTCTCTTATGTTTTTGTGCCCATTGTTTTGCTTTTAGGTTGCACACAATATGGATTCTGAGGCAGGGGAACCTCTTACCAAGTCTGAGGGGCAAGCGACTCACAGCAGGCGACGCGTCCACATGAAATCCTACTCCGTTTTGGAGTGACAGTGTGGGGACAGTCGGGCTAGGACATTCATACCATGCATCGCGGGGCGTTTGGAGAGTGTCACAAAAACGTGACATATTAATCTGTACTTCCTTGTGACTCGGGTCACAGTATTTTCATTTAAGCTTTCTACACCCAAATGTGATGTTTTCACGAGGAATCCTTAATCCCCATCTATGACGCTGAATAATCACAATGATTACTCTTCTATCGCATTTCACCTCAAACAGCCCACACGCACTCAGCCAGTGTCCATCCATCCAGCACTATTTATTCTGCCCCCCCCCCCCCATTCAGAAAGACACAGCGCCGTCATTCTTACGGTCCCACGCTTAGTTTGGGGGGGGCTCACCTGAGAATTCCCTTTTGATGTTGGGCAAATTAGCCGGGCAAGAGTTACTGACGGGGAGGGAGTGTGGGGGCAGTGCTTGACCACTGTAGACATCCAGGAGGTTAGCAGACAACGGAAGCTGGAAGACACAAATTAAAGGTGAATCCTAAGCACTACTGCAGGCTAATTTCTCTGTGTGTCCTTGGAAACCGTGAAGGTGTAAACTACTGGAGTTGTGTCACATGGGCAGAACTACAACATCGCGGCAGACTTAATGCTTTGTTATTAGAATTTTACACTGGTACATCCATCGATCCATCTTCTACCTGTTGTTGTGCACCCTAGACAGGATGCCAGTCCATCACAGCACACGCACACCCAACCACACATTATGGGCAATTTAGAAACACAGATTAGCCTCGCTGCACGTCTTTGGACTGTGGGCGGAGAGCCGAGTGACACAGCTGCTCCAACTATGAGAAGCCGCCCTATAAAAATAAGGGCAGAGTTACCGTATTGGTCATTTGGAGAGCCGGGTCCATCAGTCCGAGAAGGTCCTCATTGTAAGTTGATTCCAAGCTAATTATGTCGTCAATTACATCATCCATCTACAAGACGAAAGGCAAGTTTGTAAAAAAGAAGAGAGCTATTTCCCCAAGAGCATTTTAAAGGGTGCTTTAAAAAAAAACGAACACAAGGAACATCACTGTCACAGGGTACAGGCTGGAGAATAGAGGATGTGATACTGTATATTACTGCTGAAAGGTGGCGAGTGACCATGATTTGCAGGATGTGATAGGTGTTGAAAGTGACAAAAACCATAAAACCAGGAATTTAGTATATGAGGAAAATGATCTGAGTACTTAGTGGTGACCAGTGTATGAGCAAAATGATCTGAGTAATTATCGGTGACCAGTGTATGAGCAAAATGATCTGAGTAATCATCGGTGACCAGTGTATGAGCAAAATGATCTGAGTAATTATCGGTGACCAGTGTATGAGCAAAATGATCTGAGTAATCATCGGTGACCGGTGTATGAGCAAAATGATCTGAGTAATCATCGGTGACCGGTGTATGAGCAAAATGATCTGAGTAATCATCGGTGACCGGTGTATGAGCAACAT